AGAATGAAGGAAAGCTTAACACTCGAAAAAATTATTTTGAAACAGAATAATTATGTGAAAATGAATCCAGTTAAATATTATATTTAGGTAGCCATGAAATATCCGAAATATTAAATAAACTCGTGAAATACAAACAAAACTGAAATTGAGCAAAACATAGCTAGATTTTCTCCCAAAGCAGAACAATCCTGCATCTTTCAAATCAGAAGCATCGATAACTGAACATCGCTTACATACCACAATAACAGCAACACAACCGACAATTTTCTTCAACAATACAGAGAAACATTTCATAACGAGTAGCCCAGACGATATATAGTGGTTAGGGGAGCCCATTGCGAAACCAGAGGGCCAATTAAACTTCGTTACATTAAACATCACTGATGGCTTTATTCTCCAATTCGATCGCCCTGAAAGAAGACAAAAATTATTTCGAACCCTGAGATTTGTTTGAGTGATTTCACTGTAACATGCGAGCAGCTGAAAAACGCTCATCTGAGAGCAATTAAATGCTTGAAATAGTACATTTCGCATAGAGCAATATTTCCTCAAACATATTGAAGAAAACCATACTATGCTGTCTTGCTTACCAACGGCCGGGCGGGGACGTAGCTGAACACTGGTAGACCAATTAAGTTCGATTACAGACAAAGGGCTGCCCGCTGAAGGGCCTGCTGAAGGCTATTTTACTAACGTAGGCTGTCCGCCTGCTGAAGGCTATTTTACTAATGTAGCTTTCAGTTAGTAAAATAGCCTTCAGCAGGCACAACACGCTCTGATTCAACAATCTAAAAATTATCTTTAAATGCCCTCATCTGAATACGCGCGAACTAAAAATTAGCATTCTGGCAGGAAAACGGAAAGGGGAAATGACAGTAAAGATACTTGACATAAAATAACTGGTTAGATAGCAATAAAAATATCCTCACAACTTTATTTTTAAAATATTCCATATCGGATTCACATTTCGGGGGGGGGGTGGAAATACAGCCAATTCCTGATTAACCAGATGCGGATTAACTTGGCCTTGTCTAAAATAAAAAGATGAAGTTTGAGTATCACAAAACGAGATTTATCACAAAACTATGAGAATAAAGTAAAATTTTACGAGAAACACAAAATGAGTAGAAAATGTGTGAGATAACGGCAGGGATAGCAGATGACGTCACAGTATTTAGGAAATCCCTTTTTATTCACAACACGCAATAATTTAATTGTACATAATCTGGGATTCATAATCATTGTTAAATAATACCTTAAAACTATATTCCTAAATCGCAAAACTACAGCCTAATTATATTTCTAAATCATATGTTGCAATCAGTAGAAATCTGATTCGAAAATTTTATTCTTAGAAATAAATTACATTAAAAAGCACTTACTAAATTTTAATTTATCTCTATCCATTTAATTTAATTTTAATCATTTACTTAATTTTAATTAAAGAACTTTTAATCTTTAATTATTAATTAATTCCACAATAATTAAATAACAATACTAATATTAATTTTATAATTATTAATTAATCTGGCAATAACTAATCATTTAATTTTAAAATTATTAATGATTTTAATGGCCATTTTATTTAATCTTGTTCCTCTTTCCTAATTTTATAAATTAAGCCCTGCCTAAAAGAATTCATGTTTTCTTTACATTACAGTTCAGACAGTTTTCACAAAGTCAAAACAGTTGTCTAAACTTCTAATTATTTTGAAATATGGATTTTGTTTCTTAAATTAAAACATTGTAACATAAACATCTACATGCAAGGACAGATATGGAAAATTTATAGCTTGATTTTAAATATCGAAATTCTGGAAAGAATACGAAAGGAACTTCTTGGTGAAATTATTTGTCATGTTTCAGAAGCCTTTAATACACCTAATTTTTTTTTTAATGCAGTATGAGGCTTAAAAATGAAGAGCATTTTAGAAAAATAAACAAGAAATTTGTCATGAAAGTCTAAATCCTTCGTCACAGCAGTAAGAACAAGACTACAAATACCTGAATTTTTAATAAGATCCTTCTTTCTCACTCGAATTATATTTCAGAGGACTTTTAAGAAAAATAATAGGTAGGAAAATAGTTTTTAGACTGATATAATCAATATGTGATGGTCTTATTAAGCTGATTTCACTTTTTCAGGTACTCTAAGGAAAATGAAGGATATAATCTCAGCCCGCGTCTTTAATCAATACTTAATTCCCACTTTCAAGTTCTAACGTAAGAAACTACTCATACGAAAAGTCAGGGATAAACAAACAGATCTTAATGTCAAATACGAAGAGGACATCAGCCAAAATAAAAAGATTCCACGCCAGCGACAACAATCTTAGCGCCGCAACGGAGCGTGGACAATGAGAACATTTCCGGTGGAAGGCCAAATCAGCGTAATACATTTGGGGCCCTCAATAAAAAAATGGGATTATAAAAAGCATACTGACAACCGATTGTGCGCGGGGCGAAAGGGGGAATGAAATGGATCGTGCATTTGTGTTTGGCAGTAAAAAGAATGGCGGAAGAATGGACTTTCGTGACGCACAGCGGAATTGGACATTAAAAATTTTGACTTCTTCAAGATCTTTGCGCGGTTAATTGAAGAGGAACGAGGGGGTATAAACAGCGTCCAAAGACAATGGGGTAAATTTCCTCGATTTTAGTGTTCAAGGTCAGCAGCCCTTGCTCCCAAAGATCGTGGATAACTATCGTGCAAGTTATAATCCTACTTGTATGAAGATTGGTATGGATGCCGAGGCTTTTGCAGCGGAAATAGGTACATCCTCTTTACAATAGAATTGATCAGCGTGGGTTTCACGGTAATACCGAAATTAAATCCTGCTCGCACATGCGCAAGAGTGCAGGCTGCAGAGTTCATTCATGAAAATACTGATATTTTCATTCACACGTATCCTGACGTAGCCAAAAACGGCTTTATTTCGGTTCACAACATTTACAAAGTGTCGTAATGGCCTGCAAAATAAACCTCCACAAGCACAGAATGTGATAAGCAAAGAAGTTTAATCACATTTTGCAAATAGGTACCCTTTATTTTACAGTGTTCTCACATTTTATTATTTGTAATTAAAACTGCACACAGCTGGTACTGAGTTTCCTGAATTGCACGCATCTCCTTGTTTACTGCATGCAATGGTCCCACTTCCTCGGACTATGTTTACATACTCTTTACTTTAGGTGTAGACAGTTACTTAGCAAAGAAAAAAAAAAAAAAAACTGAAATGGTTCAGATTTAAATTACGTCCACAGGGGCGTTTTTTAACGTTTTGTGTGTTACTTTTATTTATTAAATATCCTGTTCTACGTACTCAAACCATAAAATTCAGTTCAACAGCAATATCGCAAAATAATTTTAAAATAAGCTTATCTTTTTAGAATTTCCGATACAGAGTTCTCGCGCGCTGGAGATAAAAACATTTTTTTTCGTACAGTATTGCCATTTCTCGCTTTGAAATCGTTGAGTTTGTTAATCAAAAATTCATTGAAGTATTACAAAATCTGAAATTGATAATAAAACCAAATTCAAATTAGGGCTTCTACACGCCCATATTCTATGGAAGATTATGTTATTCAAATTTCGATAGCTCTAGGTACTGTTGTTTTATCCCAGTGCGAGAAACAAACATATATATTCAGGCAGATTCTTCATTACTGAATTTTTTTAAATATAACACTGTCCGATAATAATTGCTGCCAACAATTTGAAAAGTGATTTGCCGTTTACGGTTTTCAACGAAAGATGCCAAAACAAAATTAATAGTCCTTCAGGGCAAATTGCCTCTTTGGACTGAAAAAACAAAATTCCATACTTAGCAAAAATTCAGTAATACAAGAAAAGTTAGTAAATCTGAGTGACAAAAACCATTCAAAATAATATGGTAGCAATGTTTTTTGTTGGGTAAATATTCTGAACTATCCAATGAGACATGGAAGATCATTCGGTTTCTACAAAGTGCCCAAATAATTCTTCTCTATAGTTGAGTTTTTCTGATTTTATGAAAACCCTGTATTGATATATGTACTTTACTTAGTCATTGACACAAAAGAGTAAAGAATACAAGAAATGTAATGGAGAAATTAAAAAAAAAAAAAAAAAAGAGAAAGATGGAAGACAAATTAGGTGTTCATATTCGCGGATTTAAGATTTAACATCAAAGAGATTGATCTGGTATTATATAACCACCGCTTCCCCCCTCCAAATTTAACTCATTTCCAAAAATTGCAACCGTGAAATGAATTTAATTTTGCTACTACTTCATAAATTTATTACTTTTATTCATTAAAAACTGAAATAAAATTAATTTCTGCAAACCATGCTGCAGATATCTAATTTTAAAATCCGTTAGCGTACAATATAGCATTTTCTTAATTTTATCCTCTCCTTCTTCGTTTTAAGGAACTGAGGGAAGAGAAAGAATCTATTCCTTTGCGGTACACAAAATTAATTACATTAAATACTGTATGACAATTTTCTCATCGACAAAGCGAAATTACAAGCCAGATACATTAATATTACTGAAACAGATTTTCCATCTCAAAACTTGCGCCTTTTTTAGCAACTAATGAAACTGTATATAATTCAATATATTTGGTTAATCGAAAGCAAACCTTAAAAAGTTAACCAAATTTGAACCTGAACTAAATTTGATCACCATCTTCTTTCAACTACGTTTATCCCTCCATCATTTCGCACTTGCGTTTTCGTTTGAATGCAGTTCATATCTGTACTTTAGAAGGCATTAGCAAATTTAAACAAAATAAATTTTCAAACTTTAATTAATCTTTTAAGGTTTCCTTTTTATCAGTATATTACATGTATATTACATGTATATCTTCACTCATTATATCATTTCCGTTCACCTCTAGATAGTATGACAAAAGGTATGAAATAAAATAATAATTCAAAAAATATACCTAGCTTTTTACGTTCTTTTTTAAACAAGTCTTTAAGTTTATTAAAGAAAAAGTTAAAAATATCTACTTACTAAATAATATAATAGTATCAGCGTCGTCATGAACTTCACCTAAAATAAGAAAAGTATTTGTTATTTTAGTTTATGCCAGTTATTAAATGTGATTCTTATAAAGTACAGAACTCAAATAGTAAAAAAAACTTACTTCATTCAAAAATTTTGATAATAATTACAATACTCTCTCAAAATATTATTATTCTAAAATCTTTAACAAAATCAAATTAAACTACAGAAAATACAAAGGGCACAATTAAAAGTAAATTTTATGCTTTCAGCTTGCAATCTGTGATGTAACAATATTAAATAGTTTAGATAAAACTGGCATGATTTACATTTAACTGGAATTTCGCTGCTAATGTGAGACCGATTATCCTTTAACGTTAAAAACAGAACCCTCAGATGGAAGAATAATTGCAAAATGTGGTATAACTACTACGATTAGCAGTTATTAAATTATAAATGAAAGGGACTAACGTAAAAGGCATTTTAGAGATCATACTAGGTTTCGTCGTATTTCGAGTGTCTACTAGCTGGTTTCATTACCGGTATTTTTACGTACTTATCTTCACGGCAAAAATCTGTAGCATTGTTCAATACTCCATATAGTAATTAAGATATCACATTTTTGCTAGGTGCAACACTTCTTGGTCCAAAATGTATGATTGATTCCATCAGACTCTGCCCTTATTTTTTAACACTGCCATTTTGCACGAAAGAAAACGATCTCCTATATGTTTGCTCTGTTGGTATAAGTGCTAAGCATATCCAACTGACAGAGGGAAAATCCGGTGGTTCGAATCCTGGTCGTAGGCGAGTACTTCATTTTTCCCGCTCTTGAAAGTCAAAAGTCGCGTCTAAATCGTAATGGGATGAACGATAATTCATCATATGTACATTCAATTATCTGGATTTGATCTACTGGCTGTTACGCCTCTTCTCAATCCCCCTTTAAGTGGAGGGGGGAGAATTATAACCAATCACCGAGTTTTCCCGTGCATGCTGTCTTGGTCCAAGTAACCACTACGTCCAACTGTTAACTTGAAAATCAATGTTTTAAGTCTCGTTAAGGACTTGAAATTAATTTTTCCTATTTAATTTTCTGAAAATTCTAACATCCAACATCCTCAATCGCAAATCGGTTTAAATAAAACTTGGAAGGAAAAATAAACTTTAAAAAAACATTACTTCCCTTTCGTCAAAATATTACATTTCTTCTTTATGTATTTTCTTAACTTCATTTACTTCAAATTTGAAAAATCGGAGATATTTATATAATTATTTCTACTTCAACATCTGTTCACATGAGTTTTTTTATTTAACATGACAGAAAAAAAAAAAAAAAAAAAAAAAAAAAAATGAAATGTTTCAGATTTTAAATTACGTCCAAAGGGGCGTTTTTTAACATTTTGTGTGTTACCTTTCTTTATTAAATATCATGTTCCTCGCACTTAAACCATAAGATCCAGTGCAACAGCAATATCGCAAAATAGTTTTAAAACGAGCATATCTTTAGAATTTCCGATACAGAGACTCACGCGCTGGAGATAAAAAATGTTTTTTTCTGCACAACGTTGCCATTGCTCGCTTTGAAATCCTTGAGTTTGTTAATCAAAAATTCGTCAAAGTTTTAAAAAAATAGGAAATCGATCATAAAACAAATTTCAAATTTCAAATTTGGTCTTCCACATGCTCATATTCGTTGGAGGATTACGTTATTCAAAATTCGATGACTCTATGTACCGTTGTTTTATCACAATGCGAGAAATATACATACATTTATGCAGATTTTTCATTATTTAATTTCTTCAAATATAATGCAGGACTCTAACATTTTGTGGCAACAGTTTGAAAAGTGAACCGACATTTATGAGTCCGACGCAAAATGCCAAAACGAAACTAATAGTCCTTCGGGATTCAAATCCCTTTGGACTAAAAAAAAAAGCAAACTCACCAGAATAACTCACAGGATAATCTTCTGTCACATACACTGAGGACAAGTTTTAAAAACTGACTTCTTTTGTATAAGACGGACTAACACTGCATATACCAGACTGACGTAAGGACAAAGTGAGATGGCGAAAGGTGACATTCGTTGGAGCTAATAAATGTTGGAGCCAATTAGAAGGTATGAAATGCAGTAAACATAAAGGAATTGGTAAACATATCTACTTCGGACGTATTTATCTTTTAATTTTCAGGATCGTTATCTCTTTCTGAAGATGACAGTTTCCACACATCCTTTCTTTTATTCTCAAGTAAGAAACCTATTTCCTTTTCTAATTTACTAACAAAGAAACGGGAGTTTTGTAAATATTATCGGTAAGTTTTTCAGCAAACTGCAGAATTCGAAATTAATGGATTTATGAAGATTAAGCTTTGAATCCGTTATAATTTATGGTAGGAAAAGATAAGACATAGCTCGGGTGGAAAAACATTTTCCCCATTAGAGGGAGAAAATAACTCTGGGCGTTTCCGTTAATTAAGAACCTGGGAACACAAAGTGAGCTTCGGGGAAGTTACTTCCCAATGAAGCAATAAAATGCGAATTCCCTCACATGCCTAACTAGTTTATGGAGTCTAGGACATATTGCATGCCAGAGCACGTAAATGGAACTTAATTTCTGAAAAAATTTAATACAACAGTTAACTAACTAATACCGCATAATTTGGCGTATAATGAAAGCTTTTAGTACAAAAGAGAAAAAAAAAAAAAAAAAAAAAAAAAAAAAAGAGATCGAAATTTACGGATATAAAATCCGGATATAAAAATATCCGGATATAAAAATGATAGATTAAAAAACAAGAAGAAAATGAGCGTACAAAAATTTTATTTCTACATGTATGCAAATGCTGTTACTGGCGATTTTCTAGAACCCATTTCGCAACACGTTTTTCTACATCCGACTCCTAATTCCGTGAATTTATTCGAGTCGGAAGTGCATTCAAATCCAATATTAATCGGAATATTTCCCCCCTTTTCTCGAAACCCTAGAATAACATTCTTGCGCGCACCTACATTGAATACAACCAAGACTTTTTGCAGAATTAGTTACTCCCTCAAGCATTTCTCACCCCCACACATATTGTTCCTCATCGCTTGTCAGTTCAGTGTATCTTTGTTCGAAAGCCTGCAAAAAATTTTCAAATGAATGACTTCAAAAGGTAACAGCATAGTAAATGTGTCTTTCAGGTTTCTTCGTAAAGGAAAACAGCATCGTAAATGTATCTTTCAAGTTTCTTCATAAAGAAAAGGGTGAGCTTTATACAGCAAGTATACCTAAAAATTAAAAAAAAAAAAAAAAAAAAAAAAAAAAAAAAAAAAAAAAAAAAAATTGAAATTGCAAATGCGCGTTATACATCGTAATATATGGTACTTCTTTCAGTTTAACAAGTTACTATAACAAATGATATTGATTCAATTTTGCCTTAACTGGGAAAGAATTTTCTCCTTCCTTAAAGGCATGCGCCTTCGTGGTGTAATTGGAAGCTAGCAGTCGGGAGGACCTATGTTCGAATCTCGGACAGAGCATCACTGATTTTTCATGTGTCCTGGTTTAAAAAAATTCTCGTGACTTTTTTACAAATGGCACCCAAACTCACTGTCGTAGACGATAATTCGTTACCACTAGGATATGGCGATTGGTGCTCTCCGACTTTTACCTTTTGAGTGGAGGAGAACTAGAAATTTTCTTCTTCCTTGCCAGGTGGTATTTGTAGAAGGCACGTTCGGTTAGCGTCCGAAGGTCCGTAGTTCCTATTCCGTTAAGGATATAGCTCATTTTATTCAGTTTCCTGCTCCGAAATATCTTTTAATTATATTCGATTTTCGGTATTTTGATTAGTTTGCTTTATTTTATTATGATAACGCATGATGGAACTATCTGCTTATCCTTTTGATGGTCAACGAGCTCAGCTCGCATTTGATTTACGCACCGCTGTGGGTAGAACCAACACAGCTCGAATTACAAACCTACGACTGACAGATATCGCCCGTTTTGGGGAAGAACGAATTGCTTAACCTCGCAGTCGCCAAAGGTTTACGGGAAGGGATGCCTTCGTGGAGGACTTCCTAAGAGAAACCGGCTCGTATCCTTTTTACACATGGTGAAAGTCACGAAAACGTCCATGCAGCAAGCCCCTTCGTCTGGAAGCGAATCTAGACCAAAATGCTAGTTTTCAGTTACTTCAATTTTTGGTCGTAGGTGGGCGCAATGCATTTTGAAAAAAATTTCTTTTCTCAAAAATAAATAATCATAAAATGAAATTCCTTTCATTTTTGATTATTTACTGCATCTCTATAATAAATAATCATAAAATAAAACGAGACTGCTTAATCTAGGATGTTATTTTTTTGCCGAAACAGCAAATGTGTTTTGTTAAACTGGTTAAAATCCTAGTATACGGTGCAGCCTTGGCGCGAGTTTGAAAATTATCGCCAACACCAAAAATGACCCAAACAACGTCTATGTACTATACACTATGTACATACCCAAACAACGTCTATGTATATACTATACACTATATACTAAGTATATACTACGTATAACTATATATATTCTTTGAATGACCCGTTTACTACTCATCGTATATGTCCCGTTTTCATTGCTCATCATAAAGTCGCCAAAAATAGCCAAATCCCGTGTGCACCGGATACTAGGATTAAACCTTAAACTGTCCTGGATTAACAGAAAAAAAACCATCAGCTTGTTTATTAGTTGAATATTCCCACTGGTAACCAGTATCCAATACCTCAGTCACAGTGTCCACCTGCGCCGAGCGGTAAAGTCGCTGAACAGTGGTAGTTCGATCCGAAACTCGCATATACGTTTTCGCTGGCTATACGTTAGGCTGGTTGCATATACGTTTTCGTGGTTTTCCCCCATGTTTAACGTATATATGAACCAGTTTCCCTTAGGAAGTCCTCCCCGAAGGCATCCCTTCCTTTAGGCCTCGAGGTTTCGCTATAATCACATAAACCAAACAAAACTCAGTCACGTGATATGAATGTTCCTCCATTGAGCAAGGAAATATTTTGAGAAAAAAGAATGGTC